TATATATATATATATATATATATATATATATATATAATTTTTTTTTCATAATAAAAAATATATTACTATTATATAAATTATATGATTTATATTAATTTAATGACATAAATATTAACAAATTACGTTTACATTTATGCGACAATGCTAGCAATTTCAAAAGCAATTCGTCCTACCCAGGCTCATTGAAAATACATGCATCTATACATTTCTGCAAAACTCAAAAAAGTACTGACACTTGCAAATCACTGCAGTTTCCATTTGAAATGAACACTAAAGGCAGTAAAACTCGGACGACTTTTATTCCTTTTCACAGAAATTGTGATTTACAGGGTCAGAGTTTCCATTAAGAAAGCCAAATTACTTGCAGAATATTATGTTCTGACTTCAAAATGATTTTAACATTCTGCGAGATTTGAAAACTGATACTTTTGAATGTTATCGTCACATATACAACTTTATATGTGTGGGTTTTCTAACGCAGTAGGTTTGCTCGCTAGCGCACCCGATACAGTGTTGCACTTGTGAGCTGAAGAGCTCCGTACAAATCCTGTGAAACTACAGTTTGACAAAACAGCTCAAACCTGCGTATAAGGATTATAAAAGCGCAACAGCAAGTGTGTTTTTATATCACTTTTCCATTAATTAACACTATTGGGTAGGTAATAAAAATGTAGCAATACGTGCCTGCACTAACATAATAAAAATGTGTCACAGTTACGTATTGAACGTGTGTTTTAGCGCCACTCACTGGACATTTAACTTTGAAACTGCCTCAAAACGTGCAGTTTGTTACGTAATAGTGTGTTGCACAACACAATCATGTATTTTCAATGAGCCTGGGTTGAATTCGTCACAGACCCAACAACGTGTGTAGTATTAGTTTAGGGATGTGGAGTTCTGTCAGAAAAGTTAAGTTCTGTCTTCAGTTGCTTCTTGAAAGTTGTGCTGGTCTCAACAGTTAGAAGCTCATTTCACCAGAGAGGAGCAGAGAGAGTGAAGGTTCTGGAAAGCAACATTGTGCCTCGTTGTGAAGGTGCTGTTCGTACAGTGACCAAGCTTTTTTAAGTATTTAAATATTTGTTTACTTTTTAATAATAATAATAGCATGCTACTTCTAAATTTTGCTTGATTAGCATTAACAACATAATAAACAACAGGTCTGTTAGTTTGCATTTGCAAGACCTGACAGTTCAGTTTTTTTTTTTTTGTCTTAAAATGGGCTTTTTGAGCAAGATGTGTATTTGCAGCCACATTACCACGAGGCAGTAAATGCATGGTACTGTTATATTTTGTACTTTAGCATTGAAGTAATAATAGTGGTCCTTTTGGCATCCCTGCTATGATATAAAAGGTTTCTGGCGTACAGTGAAACGTGCTACTTACAGTCCATCCATCCATCCATTCATTCTCTCCTCTCCTGCTTTAACATCGTGTACTTATTCCACAATATACCTCTCGTCTTGCATTTACTCTGCCTGGGGAGACTCCCCTCCTGTCCTCGCGCTCTTTCTTCTGTTGATAATTTTTTCATGCATCTGCAGTGTAAACAGTGCTCTCTTACTCAGCACTCTGCGAGAGGCTCTGGGAATGGTGAGCACTAATAGCTAATGCCTGTGGGTGGAACACTTACTGTGTGTAATGCCAGTGCATCGCAAGGAATGGCAGAGGGAAGGAAGGAAGGGTGGTTGTCTTCGAATGTCTGCTCAGCTAAACACCAACCAATTATCTCAATCACTGTTGTGTGAACAGTACACAGGGTTGGGTGTTGGCAAGCAGGCAAAAAATAGAGCTCTTGTGAACAGTCAAGCATGTGTAAACGTTCATGTTTTGTGCATTTAAACAGATATGTTTAAACTGTAAAGGAGTTGAGAACAATGAGGGAAAACAATAAAAACTCCTGTTTCTTACTTATTATTTTTGTCTTGTTTTCCATTACAATTAACTAAACAATCTTAAATCAATATACAATTATTTGAGACGCAAAATGAGTTCAGATATTAAGATATTGAGATATGAATGGCCTTGTTTTCTGAAAAATAAATAAATAAATAAATAAAGTCTTATTTTTTGCATAAAACGAGAAAAAAAATCTGCTAATGTGGTAAGAAAAATAATCTTAATTCAAAGGGAAAACTTTTTTTTTTTTCAAATATAAACAATAAAACAAGACTTAATACCTTAATTCATTTTGCTCAAGTGAATTAATCTTGATTCAAGAATGTTTAAATATTTATGCTAGAAAACGAGAAAGATACTAAGCAAGACTTTTTTTTTTTTTTTTACAGTATATGAATGATTGTGATGTTGATTATGGGATGACTTTACAGTACATTTCATTATGTGTTAATATGTTAAGATATTAACCGCTGTGAAGTACTACAATCTGATTTGGATATAATAATTACAAATAAATAAGCAATGCATGCATTGAATTAAACATGAAAGCAGAAAGACAGATTTTTTTTTCTTGTACTACAATAATCTTTGTTTTATTTACAAGTTCAAAAGACT